CATTCCGAATGGACGTAAATTCCCATCTGACATATGTCCATTCCGAATGGACATAAATTCCAAATGGACATACAACAATACTTTTGATAGGGTAGTGTATACAGTATACCTTCATCGCTTTATTTCCGCCGCGGGGTCAATCGTGTCCAGTTTTCACATCAGTCAACTGAACTGGACTATCCCCTCCATCCGCCAAATAACGCCTCGGAAGTCATTTCCATATGCGATCGCGTATCTTCTTCCAAAACTGGACTTGAAACACTGTTGCGCAGCATGCTATGAATGTTGAGGGTGTTTTTTTAAGACTAGGCGAAGGCAAATGTGTTTAGGTAAGCATTTAATATTCAAGACTCAAGTTGTTAGTATAAAAATATTTCTATAGAAATGACTGCTTGGATAAAGGCCAGAAAGCCAGGAAGAACGCGTCCAAAAAGTATGATTTTGAGATATGTGTGTAGGGGTATAATCGGGCGAACTACCTTAAAAAAAAAAGACCAGACAAAGCATTTTACGAAACATAGATCAGATGGCGTACTGTTGTACACATGCCTTCGTGGATTAATTGGTTAGTTAGAGCCGCTCGTATCGAATGTAGCAGTAGATATAAACAGTGTTTGGCTTGGAATTTGACAGATAATGAGTAGAGCTTGGATAGATTGTGTTATTGTTAATATACAGTCTTTCTACCGTTACATGGTTTACTATTATGTGCCAATGACATTCAGAAAATAACCAGAGGCTTTATTCTGAAAGTATAATTGTAGGTTATGTTGAATAAAGCTGGTGTTCCAATCATATAAAACATTTAAGTTGACCTACACACCGTGAAAAATACGTATTTCTTTGACCAAAGTACCACAAAGTGCCCTTCAGCAACTTTGAGGCCTGATTTGTAAATGGCCTGGATATTATTTTTCGAACAACATTATCGAGTAAAAAGTACCCGGGATACTTTAGTCAGAGAAATGCGGTTGGAATTTTTTCGAGATATTGCACAAGGTAGTATGGTGCCGGAAGAACTCGACAATGACGATCCTATTTGATAGACCAATAAAATTACGAAATTTTGATTATGGATAATAATAATTGAAGTAAACTATTATGTTTTTGTATTCTATGCTTTGGGGTAATCCAATGATTAATATTGTTATGCAGATAGAAGATAGTGACAGTAATTGATAATACTCACTTGTCAGTAGCATAAAAGAAGTTATTGTCCACTAATATCTGTCAAGATCACTGAAAAATTCATCACTTGTATAAATTATAAAGCTGTGCAAATAGCTAATATTGTCATGCCAACAGTTGCAGGGGAGCAGTCAATTGTCAGCACTAGAATTTAGCTACTTTCACATGGAGCATGTTATGCAAAGAAATCTAGGGAGGAGCACATCATTATTTAGTATTGTGGCATCGCGATATCATAACTTTATAGCTCATTGTGATATACATAATCGACTGGCTGGGCATGGTTATCTGACTTATTGAAAGGATTTTAATATGATAAAAAGAAAAAGGCAGAGAGATTTTGTCCGACTTATTAAGTTTCTGACTTATCGAGTTTCATTATGTAGCAATCCCTGTACATTACTTTAGCTTAAATTACTTACCTTTCATCTTCCAAATTTAGGCATACTCATAGAGAATATCATCTGTGGACTTTTTCAAAAGGTAGTTTCCATTTGGTCTGTGGAGAATCTTTCTGAATATTTCACTTTATTCTTCAGGAATTAACCTGCTTCTCTGCTTGTCCTGTTTAGCTGCTTTCACATTAACATTATCAGAGGTCTCTTCATCATCACCATCCCAGCATCATCATCCACATATAAGATTCCCAATGTTAGTCCCATCACTGGCTGTCTGTTTCTTTATCTTTTTGCTTCTTATTTGGTTAGGAACTTGAAGATAACATAAAGAGGGGCTTGAACATCAAAAGTAAAAAAAAAAAGGTATAATAAGCCTTTTTTCTTTGCAAATACTTTACAGAAACTTGCTGATAACCATGTGACATTTACAATCAGAAATATTGCAAACATCTCGTCGTAATGTCACCAACAAATTGCTAAATTTTTATTAGTATCCTGGCAATCTTGTCACAAGATTCTGCTAGATTGTTCAACTTCGTAAAATTTCCATGCATCCCCGAAATCTCGTGGGCACATCTTCACGATACACTAAAATTAGAATCCTCATGGCGATCTCATTACGTGATGCCTGTTAGGTAGTGGTGATCTTATTCTGATGTCACAGAGAGATTTATAAAAAATTACAGGTTTCTGTAAAGTGTCCCATCCTCCTAAAAATCTCACGACGACATTTCGGTAAGCTCGTAGCAGTCTCAGCGAGGTATCATAATCGGGAGATCCGTATAGTGGTAGTCTTAGTCTGATGTCACAGATTCAAGTTTCCGTAATGTAACCCTAAGTCACGGGACTGCAATACTTAGCAAATTTCTTATAAACCAAGGCCTCTTTTTATAGCAATGATTATGATCATTTAATAATTGATTGGAGACAATCTTCATTATAACCAGATCTTCGTCATAGCCAAAGTTCATTATACCCAAATTAGACTATACTGCAATCGGCTTCTTTTACATCCCGCTCGGACATGTTTTTCATCAGTCCCGTAATATTGTTGCGAACGATGGTCATATTTATATCTAAATCAAAAAAATCTTGTTGCGTGTAAAAATAATAAATGTCTTAAAAAAGGAGGTTATTTTCGCAAGGTTCTGTGCATAGCCAAAAAGCTCCTGCATATAGAGGTAGCCTTTTTTAGTAACTGAAATGGAATGTGAGTTTTACAATCCGCAGTATCGTCATTGCACTTAATATCTCTACATATTATAAAGATAGAGAGAACTTATGCATGGGCAAGGCAATCGACAGTTTGCAAGAATAGTCAGAGATAGTTGGCATACCAGGCCTTGCAACGAGCCTAATATTGAATAAATGAGATAGTCTTACTCTCAATGCAAGTGATCAACGTATGCATTGACATATAAGCAAAGCGTGCTTGACAGATAACTATCCGACCATTATATTGTTGGTTATATTTTATACAATATCTTGTCTGTCTTGCTGCCTCTATTTTTGTTATTTGAATATAACAGTTTATTTTATAACATACGATAAGGATAATATTGCAAGTTTTTTTTTTAAAAAAAAAAAGAAGAAGATATTTCTGAGAACTTTATTATTTGGCGGAAATCGTTGATATTAAGCATCATGTCTTCTAGGTAATATTTCAAACATGGTAACACTTCTAGCCGACCAATTATAAAGCTATCCACTATCGAAAGTGTACTCTATTATAGTAATAATCTTTATTAACAACAACTGTATAATCTAGTAGGAGAGCTGGCTACACGAGAATGAACAATAAAAGTGTTTTCAATATAATAATTTTGAGAAAAAAAAAACTACTTTACGATTATTATGGATGCTGTATAATTTTGCCTTGTTGTATCATTCAACAGACGTCTTCCATAAACCTTGGTGTATCTTCCCGAACAAGTGTAATTATTATTTCTACATCCAAGTGTGTCTAAAAAGCAAGCAATAACAGTGAAAAAGTATCCCAATATACAACTCTAAGATGATAAAATAACCAAACCAACAAATTACCTGTACATTCTTTCCACCCTCCCACATGATTGAATAATGAACAATAATCTTTCCACGTTAATATCAGCATTCGTGATAATTATCGATTGCCCGTGACTCGTAGCGATTGTTATTATGCTTGCGTTGTTGGAAAAGGAAGTAGTAGATTGTGTTTGGCCTGATGTTTGAGGACAATGAATGGAGGGTTCACTATAGTTGTCTAAGTCATAATTTATTGTCGAATAGTTGACTCGATCTTCATTATTTTCATAATACTCAGTATTCAACGGTTCATTTACGCCCAAATGAATGCTATTATTATTATGGTCGAGAAGACGGGTATCAAAAAAAGAAGAATATTGACTGGGAGATTGGGAGACACTTGACTAGGAAGTCGGTGGGAATAGCCGGTAATAAAGTCCATTTGATTTGATGGAAAATGGCTCCAAGAAAGACTGTCTGTATAGTAGTCCATACTATGCACATGATCGGATGGAATGTTGTATGTATAATTTTCGTTAATTGATTTGTTATTAAAACCGGCCATATCAGACATAGAGTAAATATAACGATAAGAGATAAAACAGCGCTTGGTTTGGAGATTCGACAGATATATGAATAGGCGTTCAGACGAGACGAAGCGCCTTTCTTTTATAGACATTACATACATAGTAACACAACGTACATATTTAAACGATGCAACACATAATTTACTTGGATGTTAAAGAATAATAATATACAACTGACTACAACCGTCTGATGCGGTCAAAATAATATAGAGCAGCATTTATTATTAAAAGACAGAAGTTTTGTTTGATTGCTCTTTTATTAACTTATTCATACGATTACTAATCTTACCACTCATCGGAATGTCTACTCTAGGATATGCGTAAGATAGTTAAAGTGAAATATAACCTGGTGGTACGTTATTCAAACGATTCAACTCAAAATATGGACAGGTTTTAAAAAATAAACCTAGAATTTAGAATACAATCCCCATGTATAAAGCCCAGAAATTTAGATCTATCCATGCTTAAAGAAAATAAAAGCGATAATATTAATATTAATATTAATATTAATATTCAAACGATTTGCACCAACTCTGCACCCATATTTAGGCTAACTAACAACCTAATGGTACACTATTCAATCCATATCATATATCGGACGTACCGATACAGGTTTAAAATAAACAAAGACGCGCAAGCGGGAAACACCGTGTGTAACACATCACCGTATGATCTGGATAAAATATTCATACGGGTTTAAAGTAAACTAATGGCTTGCGCAAGATGTCCACACACCAAAAAGCAAATTGTTGTTTTCGGTCCGGTCCAGAGATGCAGAAAGCGGCTGCGAAGATAACCCTCCTATCAACAATATAGAGCAGTTACATACTACGATAGTAACAGTAAGCGTATTTAAATTATATCGTTATCTGTAATTATAAAATACACGATCACCACTTTTTTGTACTACTCTGTATATGGAATATATATTGGCCGAAAATGTCAAAATATCCAATGTTCGCCTAAAAAAGGATTGTTGAATAAACTCTCGTGTAACTCCTCAACAAATCCCCCTATAGTGGAGCAGAGTCTTTTGCAACGTTGTTCTAAATCAAACTAAGAAAGCTGGGTGCAGTATTACAAGCGGCGCTGTGAATAATAATAG